GCCCTGTTCAGATACGACGACTTCCCCGTCACTTACGAGTCTGGATTCAGCAAAGTCCCTCAGTTTGACGCCCATATTGAGGTCTATTCGCCAGAGAAGATTGTTCGCGTTGATTTCGACACTCCCTACGTGAAGGGCTTGCCAGTCACGATGACGATCCGGGAACTCATCGGCGACGCCGGTTTTCAGGAGCGCAAGGTTCGAAAGACGTACGTTGATCCGTACACAACAGAGTTCCTGGACTTCTATGATTGCGTCGTGAATGGCAAGCAGCCAAAGACGAGTGCAGCTGACGCGAGGAATGACATTGAGCTTTTTAAGATGATAATCCAAGCCGACGCTGGAAGGTACGAGAGTGAGGACTAAGGGGGTCTGATAGATAGTATGAGGCCTCCAGCAACAGTGTGTATATATATCCCATGCATTCACCCTCGGGTTTGATCATAGTATATCAGGTTGTTATCGTCTCAAGCAATCTTTATTGCATTGACCGAACGCCGAGCCGCCTTTCATGCCCCTCCCATACCCGCTACTTTGTTTTCGTTGACTGATTCTGCTGCCCATGCCCTCTTCTTAGCTAGAAACCTCAACTCTCTGGGAGTGTCATCCATACTGGGTATACGAATAACTAAAGTGGATTTCGGTCTTGATTGCCTCCTCCTCTACTTTCCCAAGACGCATCATTCTCAGCGCAAATTTCGGCCACCCAGTAAACCTGTCTCAGTAAGCCCTCACATATTCTGGTCACAAGCCCGCATCACGATGTGTGACCGCACGTCCCAATCAGACCCAAAATCCATCCAGACACCAAGCTCTATGGCTTCGGCGTGGAACGAGCGCATCTTTTCAAGAAGCGCCTGGTGAATTTTGTAAGAAACTTGTGAACAATCAATTGGGGCGGTAAGCATGTCATCGGGACTTACAGAAACACAATGATGTGCTCTACGCGCGGCGTTTAGCATCCTTGGTTAAAATACCGTTTCTTGGATGCGGACCTGTATCCTGCCACCCCCTCATCCCCGGCCTGCTTATGGCTGAGTGAGGCAGATCTACTGTCCCAGTGGAGCTGGGGCGAAACCGACTCGAAAGAATTATCTGGCGTGAGAAGACCCGTGGGTTTCGTCGCACTGGCGGGTTCGGTTGCACCGGTTGGCATCGTCGTGATGCTGGCAATGTCACAACGAGAATCCCGATGCTTTCTTTCGGGCCGATCGTAGAGCTGCAAGAGCAGTACCCCTCCCTCAACCTCACGAAGGACGTCCTCAGCAGAGGCGCCCGACCGGATTCTTCTGAGCACCTCATGGGCCTGGAACTCGGGCATGGACCGGATTGCGCGAAAGAAGCCGTTCAGGCAGTCATTCTGGCGCTCTAGTTCGGTAAACTTCCTTTTCATTGAGGCGCTGCGCGACTCAGAGGGGTCGGCGGTGTACCGACAGTCGAATCCACGACTCGTGCATTGAGAGCATTTTGGACGGTCGGCGGAGCACTTGTCGGAGACGAGCAGATTAGTGCGCGATGTCTTCAACGAGGAGGTTCAATGAGGGGTATTGGGGAAGCGAACTTTGGTTTTGCGCTTCTTGCAACTCTCGCAAGCTACCCAGACATTGCGCCGGGCGGGTTTCTGGTCAGATCGTGGTGACGATGCATTGTGTGGATTGCGCGGTGACGTAGGCGAGGTGGGAATAGCGTCGGATTCAAAAGCGGGACGGATCTCCCGGTAGCAACGGTTGCTGGCCATGTAGTCGTTCGTCACGGCAGAAAGACCATGTTTTGGATGAGGAAGGAAAGGAGGTTCTCAATGGCCAAGGACGAAGGAAATGAATTGGAATCGACTGTTGGGGGTCTTGTATCGATTTCTTCTTCAAAAAGGTCCAGGCCTGGCTCGTCCCACGAAGCAGTGGACACACGGTGCAACAGGATGCTTTTTCAATCCCACCGTTCCAGACGGGCCCTTCCCCATCTGCGCGTGACGTAAATCTTTATCTTCTGTCACTGTTGCATCGAGATCGAACTGGAGGATGCACCGTTTCCGCAGAGTCGCGTGTTAATTGGCTGCGTGAGTGAAACGGGGTCAGCCTGTGTCACGGCGCCGCAGGAGCCCATGCGGAAAAGGGCGATGAGTATCAAAATCGAGATGGGGAATCTGGGATCGAGATTCCCATCAGGATTAGGTGTTCACCGGAAACCATTCCGTTCGCACGTGGAGCGGCTGAACGATGCTGCGAAGCCGTTTAATCAGATGACGTCTCACGTGGAGAGGAGACAGAGAAGAGTGGGTGTCGAATAGCTGGCTCTCCAACTCTACATCATGCTTCAATCACCTTCTTCTTGACATTGCTCATGTTGGTCTGAACTTCAGAGGCCTTACATAATATTTAGTGGAAGGGAAATCAGAAACTTACCTAATATGAGAGCCTGGTGAGTTTGTCAGACTGAAGAGTGAGGTGAGTTCAATCGGCCATCATCGGTGTCTCACTCATCAATCAAATTCACTCGCGAGTGTCACCTCACTTTAAGACTGTTCGTCCATCCGTCCCAGCAAACGCAAGTGAACACAGACAGCCCTGATGATCTCTGCCTTTTTGAGCCCGAGAGCTCATCCAAGCGACTCACTGGCAGAGTCCCGTTCGTCCATGGATTCTCGCTCCCAATTGACCCATTCGGATCATGTGCCCCGGTGGACCAGCGTAACATTCATCACTCTGGCATCTCACTCGTTCATCTCGTGTCTGCAGTCCCAGCAAACAAGGTCAACAAGGTCAACCCGGCCGGTGAAGATGAGCCGACGATTGTCTGCTAACCCCCTCTGCCAAGCAGTCGAGTTTACTTGGCTCATCATGACCCCATTCACACAATCCAAGCGGTCAGTTTTCATTACCAACACCAGCGTTAACTCTGTCAACAACGCCAACGGCTGCCAAGCCAGCCAATTCCTCTCTTCCCTCGTCCGCAAGTCCTTCACCGCACCGAAATGACATCAACCCCAGGCGAACCCCGGCGCCAAAAGGGCATCGTTTCCAGGGCGCGGGACAGAAGGATGCGACGCTCCAGACGCTAGAACAATGCTGGACTCCCTGCACCGTGCCATAGGCACATACCAATTTGGGACCACAGCGTCGGCGCTGTATCAATGGTGCTATTTGATTGGCTCGCTCATCTTCTGTTTGGATTCGCATTTTTCAAAAGTATTGCGCTGCTTCAAGAGCATGGGTTTTCTCGTTTTTTTTTTTTTTTTTTTTTTCTTAATTCGAACTCACAATTTTGACAATTACGGGCCACAGGTTTACAATTACGGTATGTGGCAACTGGCAGGTTGGGTAGAGAACCTCTACAAGAAGGCGCTGGCGGGCAAGTGGGGCCCTCTCTAGAAGCCACTGGCACCGCTGGCGCCGCTCTGGCAGGCACTGCGTGGCCACCGTGGAGGCAGCACTGGCACAGTGCCGCTACCGTGGTGGCGCCGTTCACTGAACCCAGCATTTTCTACGAAGGGCCCAGGTAGATTCATTCTAAGTGTTCTATCAAGGCTTCTTATCTCGTCAGCAGACATCTCCGTTACAACTCGGCATAGGTATGTTATATGCAGTGTACATCTTTTGTAGAGATCAAACCGAACAGCAGAATCGCTCTTAGGCTAACTTTTCAGCAACCACTTTACTTTACGCAAAATGCCGTCACATCAGCACAAACGTCGTAAGGTAAGTGAAATCGACACAGGAGCTCTCAACATAGTGAGCAAAAAGGGCCCGGCTATCTGGGACCTACCTGTTGAGATTTTGCAGCATATATCCTCCTTTCTACCTTCTAAAGCTAATCTCCAATGGATGTTAGCCTCACGATGGTCCGCCTCGGTCATTGGCGGCAGAATCGTGCACAACGCCATAGCATGGGAGGAGACTTCGGTGTTTGTCTGGGCCTGCCGAGTTGGCCGGGTTGACATCATGAGGAGATGTATGGATGGCGGCATGAGCCCCAAGTTGCGAATCCGGCAAAGGAATGGACACGCGGAGTACCTTCCTTTGATTGGAGTCAGCATGCTTTCAGGCCACCTTGACGCTATCCGCTTGTTGATTTCTAGAGGAGCCACTCTTGACTATCTGCCTCGTCAGTGGTGTCTCGCCTACTCGCGGAAAGCATTGTATTACGCCCGTCATCAGTCGACACTACAGTTTTTAGTACAAAGTGGATCACATCCATACGCCGATCCTAACGACGACAGACTTTTTATTGAGATGATCAAGGCTGGATTTCCAGACAACACCATAATCTTCGCAGTTGAGAACGCCCTCGGCAAAATAATTCCGGATGTCATAACTGTTGCTGCTCAACGAGGTCGACAAAATCTCATCAAAAAGTTGTTCAAAGCGGCACCTCAACTAGTGGAGCGATTTGCGGCGACCCTGGAGCGCCCCCTTCCCCTTCCACCCACCCACAAACGGCATCAACCATAGTGTGACTCGTAAGGAGGACCCCGGCCTCAAAGAGCATCGTTTCCAGGGCGCGGGACAAAAGGATACGACGCTCCAGACGCTAAAACCCCGCACGCCATCGCCCACTTCACCCGCATCAACTCGCGGTAACACCACAACCCCTGTACTCCGAATGCCCCCCTGGGCCTCCCAAGCTTCCCCTAGCTCCAACTGGGAAATACTTCATATGAAAGCTGATGAACCTTCCATAGCTTCCCCCGCACCACCGCGCCCAATACTCACCAACGGGAAAATTCTCCAGCTTTCGTCCAGCTTGGCATCCCCAGCCACGATCATCCGCTCTCTGCAGACTCCCAAGCTTCCCAAGCCGCCTCTCAATGGCCCGGCACAGAGTCTTCGGTCCTCGGGCCAATGCCAGCCGGTCCGTCTCGGCCGCACCGCAGGAAGTTATGAAGTCAATATAAAAGCCCTGATGTCGCATTCGAAGGCACCATCCCACGAAGACAAAGCTTAGAGAGTCACGCCTCAAGTCAAAGTGCCAGCCAAGCTTGCCTCGACCACCAAGTCCTCAACATGGCGCTCACGAAGCTCTTCTCAACGGGTCTTCTCCTCGCCTCGCTCGCGTCCGCAAAGTGGATCGTCCCCGGCGGAAGATGGCGTGATACCGAGGGAAACCTCGTCAACGCCCACGCCGGCGGCGTCACCATCGATCGCGACACGGGCAAGTTCTTCTGGTTCGGCGAGTACAAGGTCCAGGGTCAGGAGGAGGGCGGCGGTGTCTCCGTCTACAGCTCCGACGACCTGGCGACATGGGAGTTTCATGGCAAGGCCCTTGAGCCCATTGACGGACACCCGTACATTGACTCGGACATGATCATCCAGCGTCCCAAGGTGGTCTACTCCGAGCCCACCGGGGAGTACCACGTACGTCTGCCTCGTCCTCTCTTGTACGTCAATTGACTAACAACTCCCCTCAGATGTGGTGGCACGCCGACAACTCAACCTACGGCCTCCTCCTCCAAGGCCTGGCCACCTCCCCAAACATCAGCGGGCCATACACCTTCGTCGACGCCACGGCGCCCCTCGGCAACTGGTCCCAGGACTTTGGCATCTTTACAGACTACAAGGACGGCCGTTCCTACGCTCTCTACTCCAATGGTGACCGCCGCGAGGGCCGCGACGTCTACCTCAGCTCCTTCAACGACGAGCTCACAAACGTCACCGAGGTTGTCCACCGCTTCGACAAGTACGACCTCGAGGCACCGACCATCATCCAGACCGACTCGAGCTACTACGCCCTCATGTCCCACAAGACGGGCTACCGCCCCAATAACGTCGTCGCCTTCCGCGCCGATTCCCTTGCCGGTCCCTGGTCCCAGCCCTTCTTCGTCTCCGACTCGTACACCCGCACCTACAATTCCCAGTCCGGCTTCTCCCTGCGCATCAACGGCTCCGAGGTGACGACCTACCTCTACCTCGGCGACCAGTGGGACTCCAACTCCCTCTGGGAGTCCCGCTACATCTGGCTGCCCCTCAGCGTCGACGATGAGAAGAAGTCCGTCCACGTCGAGTGGCACGACATCTACGACCTCGACGTCAAGACCGGCGTCGTCACCCCTATCGAGGGAACGACCTATTCCGCGCACGACTCCGCCACCGTCTCCGGCAACGCCTTCAAGCAGGAGGCCAACTTCGCCAGCGGCGGCACCATCGTCACGGGCATCTACGGCAACGACAGCAAGGTCACCTTCGAGGGCATCGAGGGCGCCGGCGAGCCGCAGTGGGTGTCGTTCTACTACCAGAACACGGACGACATGGGCTTCGGCGACCAGCCCGGCGGCACGCCCGACCGCATCGGAGGGTCGTGGCAGCTGCGCCGCATCGCGAGCGTCATCGTCAACGGCAACGAGCAGCAGGTCGAGTCTCTGTACCAGCGCGACACGCACAAGGGCATCATCCTGTCCACGCCGCTGAACCTGACCTTGGACAAGGGATCGAACAACACAATCACCATCGGCGGTCTGTGGAACGGATTCGACTTTAAGGGTGCCGATATCGACCGCATCGTGGTGTATCCCCCCGAGGAGAAGAAGTAGACAGAAGGGTCTGCATATAATGATAATAGTAAAAAGAAATGTGTATCTAGACAATGCAAATATCCTCCCACACAACCTCATCAGTGATAGCTTCACCGGACATGATGCCGTGAACGTATGCATCGCAGACTATGACAAAGTTACCCCCTTCTACCCTTCTCATTTGCAGCGGCAGCTGTAGCCCCTTCAGAATCCATACCTCGTCTCCCAAAGCTGCGGAGTTGTCCAGCAGAGCCATATGTCCCCCATCAAGAAGCGAGAACAATCGATTATTATGCAAAGAATGGATCTGCCAGATTCGGAGATGCTCCTCTGCCCTTTCTATGACCGCCCTCTTCTCCTCTCTCGACGCCTCCTCGGCCTCCCCCAAGTAACCCAGTATGCCTAGCCGAGCCTTCAGGTCTTTCGTGCCGGGGTATAGCCCGGTCGTGTCCATGGCTGCCGTTTCATCGAAATCCTTCATGCTCTCCTCCACATTATCCCAGTCCATCCCAGCCTGTAACTGCACAATGGCAAGCTGAAGCATGCAGGAAACCGTCCATTCGCGGAATGATAGTCCCACCTCGTCACGCGCTCCCAGGAGTCGGCTCATGGGCTCCTTCTTGTCCATCACGAGCGTGCGCCAATATGCATCCACCGTGGGCCGGTTGGTGAAGGGATACACAGGATTCGCCTGGCCGCTCAGAGCCTGTGCCAGAAAGTCCGTCGATTCGGGCACGGCGCCGACCTTGAAACCTCGACAGTACAGCTTGTCACCCACAATTCTAATCCCCAGGTCTGCGTTCCCGGCATGCCTGGAAGCATCTTGCGCCAGATCCGTCACAATGGTCCCGCGGAAGTCGGGCACCCAAGACGGAAGACCTTCCATTCTCTCATAAGCCACGCCAGCCCGCGTGAGAAGCTCCAGTCGTCCAGACCCGACAATCTGGCTGGTGACTCTGGTGTAAAGGTCCGGCAATGGTATGTCGTAGTCCACACTGATCAGGGCGTCATCGAACCCAAAGTCCACGAAATCGTCGCGGTGCCTCTCAAACTCGGCGAGAATCTTTTCAAACTCGGCGATGAACTTGAGCATTCCGAATAGTCCATAAATCTGGTCCCTGCCATCAGTGCTCTCAAAGGTCGAGGTGTTATCGAGCAGGTCCTCCAAAGCCTTTTCCCATTTCGGGAATAGGACAATAGTGATGTAGCCTTCGGGTGTGAAAACCCCAGGGCGTATCGGATTACTCGGATCTCGGGAATAGAGATCTCTGTAGTAGTCGCACCAGCTACGACAGGTGTTGATCGCAGTCGCGTTCATGATACCCATGTCAACCTGCCGATGGAGACCATTTTCGCCCATGAGTTGTTGGCCGCGGTATAGTGACCCGGAGTTCATCGTAAGCCAGGCAAAACTCCCCAGGACAGGCCACGGTATCTGCTGAATCCCGCAGAGGACGATGACCTCCGTGGACAGCGCGACCTCCTGCACGACCCAAAGCCTCCGGAACCAGCGCCGCCCATATATGCCTTCGAGTGCCATCCAGTCTTCCAGAGCTAGGTCTGGGATCCCCGCCATTGCTCGAGCTAGGGGCTCATAGTCTTGAGTCGCGTTCACCTCCCAATAGCTGATACCAGGGGCATCCGACCACTTGTCCCACGTCATAATCCTGTCTGTAATGACTTCAAGAGCTCTTTCCAGCCCCGGCTTCTCCCTTCCTATCCACGCGACAGTCGAATGAGACTTGGTGTAAATCTTGTCCATGATAGCAACCTGCGCCGAGCGCTCGGCGTTGTCGTCCTGGTTGATGCAAATGGCGTCAATCCAGAACCAAGCGTCTGGAAAGCTCTGTCGTAATTGGAGAAGAGCATCGCGCAGATTCTCCCGTACTGGGAAATTTCTCCCATTGACAGCAATGCTGGAGAATCTAGGGGCCTGGTCCGCCTCATCGGAGTCGAAATCCGCGGCTCCCCAACAGTACGACAATGTGTAGTATTTCGGATGCGCTGCGAGCGAGAATGTCGCGACTTGCGTTTCAAGAGGACCCTCGCGGGCAGCTTGGATGTTCACCAGTCGGAACTGACTGGCGCTCACTGCTGAGGAATAGGTAAATGACTCGGAAGTAGCCATTGGGTTGATGAAAGTGATGCGACTGATACTCGATCGAGCGGTTAGGAGTAGGGAGAGGAAGAAACGGAGACCTTGAAGTACGGCGGTGCAGGAGCTGAAAGTGTCTCGTCTGCCTGTTATCCTGCAGGCTGGGCAGCCAGGGGTGGACAACCTTTGCTTGGCCATATCCAGAACCAGTTAGCTCCAGTTCAATCGGAACATAGGCATGCCTGTATCTACTGTTGATGTTTGTTACTGAATTTGAATTGCTTCGTTGAAGTTGACTACCTTAGCCACGCAACCCGCTTCGACCGTTCGCTCATCTTGATAAATACGACCCCGTTCTCAACGGCTGCTTGCTGGCCATCCATCCGCTTGGAGGCTGTTCTGTGCCAAGCTATCGAGGGCCCTAGAGATGAGCAAGAGAAATCGGACTCAGGTGATGATAGGCAAGATATCAAGCTAGATTCATGCCCACAGCAACTAACACCAATGAATAAAGTAAGTGCGCGTATTGGCCTAGGAATTGACTCTCGTCATAGGACTAACTTCTTTATAGTCCCTACCCCTCTCAATATCATCGTCTTCGTCCTCGTCTCTAGTCTCGTCCGTTTTCGCCATCGTCGTCCTTCGCATGTATCGTCTATTCCTCTCGCAGTCGTTGTCTCCCACCCCCGTTCTCTTTCGCCGTTGCCGTCGCCGTCGTTGTTGTCTTTTACCTTGCTCGTCTATTATCTTTCTCGTGCTTCGCCTTGCTGGTCCCTCGCTCGCGTCGTCCCTCACCTTCGCTTTCGCCTTCCTCGTCTATCACCCTCTTCGTCTACTCTCGTCGTCGTCGTCGTCGTTTCTTATCACGTCGTTTCTCATCCACATCGTGTTTCACTAGTGTCACCTCTTACTGTCATCGTTTCTTGTCATTATCATCTTTCACTATCATTGTATTTCACTTTCACCGCCTCTCACCCTCATTTCACCGGCTGTCGTCCTTTCTCGTGAAAATCCATTTGCCCCCCCACCCCCCGACCATCGTCCTCCCTCGTCGTCGTCCGTCGTCGTCCGCCGTCGTCCTCTCTATCCTTGTCGTCTCTGGTCTTGGTCATCGTCGTCTAGGAAGTGTGGACGTCCGCCTTCGCAATGGCCTCCGTTACTGACTCGATAGCCGGGTCAGCCTCTGCCTTCTTCTCGCCCGACTCCACAGTTGCGCCGGCAGCCTTGGCCTTTTCGGCCTCCTTCTTGGCCTTCTTGCGGGCCTTGTCGGCCTCCTTTGCGGCCTTCTTGGCTGCAGCCTTCGCCGCAGCCTCCTCCTTTTGCTTACGGACTTCCTCGCCGCCGAAAGCGTCCTTCCACTCCTCGATCTTGGTGGCAGGAATGAGAGAAAACAGGTGTTTAGGCTCGCCGAGCTTGTGGCCAGGCTTGATCGCGTCGACAACCCAGCTATCAGGAATAGTAGGTTGGCTGTCGACACCGAGCTGCTCAAAGATCGCCTTGGATGTGTTAGGCAGGAAGGGGCTGACCAGAGATGCGATGAGGTTGATCTGGTTCAGTGCGTGGCCGACCACGGCAGCGCAACGGTCAGGCTCCTCGGTCAGCAGCTTGTTGTCAAGCTTGTTGTCCTGGAGCAGCTTGTTTCCAAGACTGTGTCGACTGTTAGCGGCCGATGCTGAGCGATACCTAATTTTAGAGGCACTTACGCAGAAATCGACAGGATGCTGTGCAGGGAAGCTCTCATCTTGGTGTCCTCCATGTTCTTGATGTACTCGCTGAGGAGGTTGTTGACCTCGACAACGTGGTTCTTCAGGTAATCATCCGTGTACTTGGTGTAGTCAGGGACAGCGCCGTTGGTCTTGGCCTGGCAGAACTTGTTCACTGCAAAGTATTAGCTATGTTGACGATGACGCGAAGGGGGTTGCTCACCTCTCTGGCAGAAGTTACCGAGGTTCTTGAGGCTGTAAAGCTGTTAGCTAAAACCGACAGTCGAGCTGCCGAGAGACTTACAGTTCGTTGTTGTTGCCATCAACCATCTCCTGCCACATGAACTCAGAGTCGGACGTCTCTGGGCGGCGGGCAAGGAGGTAGTATCTCCAGACATCAACGGGAACTTCAGTCTGCTGAACCTGGTTGCCGAAGACACCAACACCTCTCGACTTGCTGAACTTTCCGCCCTCATAGTTGAGGTACTCCGTAGTGGAGATCTTGTGCAGCTTGGTCCAGTTCTCTCCTGTGCCGAGCTGGGATCCAGGGAAGATAATAGTGTGGAATTGGACGTTGTCCTTGCCCATGAATTGGTACTGTCAAAGGTCAGCTATGAGCTCTTTGAATACGTGCGTAGCGCGCGCGTCACTTACCAGCTTGACATCGTCGGGGTTCTTCCACCACTGCTCCCACTTCTTGCCCTCGAGGTTGTCGCCGTCGGTGTAGTTCTTGGTGATGGAGACGTAGCCTAGACGGGTCAGCCGTAGATCTGGAAAGGGAGGTATAGCAGCTACTCACCAATGCAAGCGTCGAACCAGACGTAGAACACCTTCCTTGCGTAGTCCTCGCCGACCTCGCCGGTGGGGATTGGCACACCCCACTTCAGATCTCTCGTGATACCACGGGGCTTCAGGCCCTTGTCGATCCAAGCCTGGGTAATCTGCTCGGCGTTGTTGCTCCAGGCACCCTTCTTGCTGGAAGACTGGAACCACTTGACAAGCTCATCCTTAAGAGCATCAAGCTTCAAGAACAAGTGCTTCGTCTTGCGCTTCTCGGGGGTAGCTCCGTCGAGCTTGCATCTGGGGTTGATCAGCCAGCCAGTGGCCTTGGCGGCGACGTCGTCGTCGGCACCAGCGTTGGGGTCGGTCTCAGGCTCCAAGGGGTCGAGAAGGTTACCGCACTTGTCGCACTGGTCTCCTCTGGCGCCGTCGTAATTGCACACGGAGCAGGTGCCCTCAACGAAGCGGTCAGCGAGGAAGGTGTTGTGAGCCTCGACGGGGCAGAAGGGCTGGATGGTCTCGCGCTCCTCAATGTAGCCATTCTTCCACAGCTTGGTGAAGATGTCCTGGACGATCTCAGTCTGCTGGGGAGTGGGGGTTCGGCCGAAGATATCGAAGGAGATGTCGAAGTAGTCGTAGATGCCCTTGTGAATGGCGTGGTACTTGGCGCAGAGGGTAGCAGGGTCGACACCCTCCTCGAGGGCCTTCGTCTCGGTCGCAGTACCGTACTCGTCGGAGCCGCAAACTGGAGTTAAAGTCGTCAGTCGTGGACGGAGATGAAGCAAGTGTGGAGGGGTTGCGACGTACTGTAGATGGTGGGGTTGCCGCGGGCGCGGGAGTAGCGAGCGAAGACGTCGGCGGACAGCACGGAGCCGATAATGTTACCCAGATGAGGGACGTTGTTGACATAGGGCAGGGCTGAGGTGATGAGGATGTTGTTTTTACCTTTGACGGGCAAGATGGGCTCGGTGGGCGCCATGGCGATGTATGCGATCGTTGGTGTTGGTGGTGGGGTTTGCGAAAGATTTGACGGGTTCGGTGGGATGATGCCCTCGGGGCGGCGTCAATTGATGGCAGAACAGGTAGCTCAAGTAATGCCGGTGTCTTTGTTCGTGTATTCGTGTGTCGGTTGCTTCAAACAAGCCGGGAAGTGAGGGAGACGGACGACGGAGACAAAAGACAGTGGCTTCGACTAGCGACAGAAGGGAAAGGAGTCACGCAGAGCAGTGCGCACCTTCCGCACCTCGTCGCTGACTCTGACTCTGGTTGACGCAAGAGCCACAACCCCGCACTATCCCCGATCGGGATGAGGGGCAGAGTCTCCAGCCGGTCCTGCTAAATTTTCAACGGTTACAGGGAGTGCAGGGCGCAAGTTGAGCAGCGGAAGGCGCTGACGCCCTGTGTTTAGCACCTCAGGGTCCACTGGGTTGTGTCCGTTCCCCGAGTTCACCTGCGCTCGGTGTACTTCGGTCTGATCTCGCCATCTCAACCAAAACATTAGATGCGACTTGGTTGTTGGCGAACAACTGCAATCCGCATCATGTAGTGATTTCGGAATGTTATCTGTAGTCTTTGATCCCAATGCTGAATGCTGGGATGAGGACATATCCATACTTATCCGTGTAAGTAGGGTCCTGTATCCTCTTGCAACACCATGAGGAACTGTTCGACGCCACCTGTGTATATCTCATCTACGGTGTTTTAATACGTCTTTCAACAAGCTGGGAGACTGAATAATCATTTAAGGTTCAGTGGATTGGATTTTAAGACGCGACTCAGCTGAAGAATTGACTAACACGACGTTCATGAATGGTGATGGCCGTTATTGGTGATAGAAGGACGCCCAAGAAGGGACCCTCTTCGTCCGAACAGGCGGCGCCATTAAACCCAATTGACCAGGCTCCCGCATGCAAAAGCTTTGACGAGTCTTGTCTGCCGTTGGCGTACTCATAGGCTCAACCATTGACATATATAGGCTGATGGCCAGCGAAACGGGTCAGAATGTACCTCTCCAGCGACGCGCGACTCATCGTCAACGATCACCGGCATCATAAAAGACCTCTCACATGCTCATTGGTCATCAAATGGTATTCTTTTGGACATGCGCTACACATTATAAACCCCTCTACTGGCCAAACGCCTCCTCGTAGTTGGTCAGGCAATACCTGTAACGGACACTGGAGTCCTCGATACCGTTCATAGCCTTCCTCAGACCGTCCGCGCTGATGGGAACCTCCTGCACCCACGTCTTGATGCCCTTGTCCGCAGCCAGCTGCAACATCTCCAGCGTCTCGCGTCTGCTGCCCAAGTGCGAGCTACCAATGAAGCAGCCATTGGGCAGGAAGTCCTGGTTGCGGACGGTGATGCCGCCGCCTCCCGGAAGACCGACGGAAACCCACTTGCCGTGGACGTCGAGAAGGCTGAGGTAGGCAGAAAGGTCGAAGCCCTCAAAGGAGTTGGCCGTATTAAGGATGAGGTCGAACGTCATCTTGTGAGGCTCGTTCCAGCCCTTCTCGCCGGAGGCGAGGTAGCCGTCGGCGCCCATCTTGA